ATAACAACTCCCTGTTTTTGTAGATGAGGAAACTGATGCTTGAAAATCTTATTTACCTTGGACAAGTTTAAACAGATAATAATGACAGAGTTACGTTTTGAGTCCAGAAGAATCTTGATCTGAAATCTGAGGTCAGCTGTATCAAGTGCAACAGATTTGTAGAAGAATTTCTTTGTCCTTTTTTTTTTTCTTCTTTTTATTTTTTATGAAATGATTTCAAAAGGAGCTGGCAGACAAACGAATTGCAAATAAGTAAGCATGCTAACATTGTATCCATTCTTACCTATTCAGTAAATGTTTCTTAAGTGTCCACTGTGTGCTCAAAACAGTGGCAAATATAAAATAAACTCCAGATCTCCTAGTATGAAGATGCAGAAAATACACTTTCCATTGCTAGAAATTATTTTCACTGCAATATATAAATCAGTGGGGCATGCCCAAAGACAAATGCAGACGCTTATGGGCAAAAGTTCAACATAATGTCATAGAGCAAATTTGATCTGGGAAGCCTCACAGGGGTATAAAAAGCAAATTTAGACTAAGTTTTAGAGCCTAATAATATCTCTATCTCTGGTAGCGTAGTGGTTACGAATCGGGCTACGAACCTTAAGGCCAGCAGTTCGAAACTACCAGCTGCTCCGCGGGAGAAAGATGAGGCGTTCTGCTCCCGTAAAGATTTACAGCCTCGGAAACCGTGTACAGGGTCGCTATGGGTCGGAACCGACTCGACGGCACTTAGCAACAACAATCTATCTATCTATCTATCTATCTATCTATCTATCTATCTATCTATCTATCTACCTACCTACCTACCATCTACTATTAACTTTTTATTTATGTATCTAAGTATGCTTTCTCATTAGCCTTCTTGAAAACAATATATTTTAGACCTTTACATTTTGATTCACGTGCTTTCATTACAATGATTTTCTGTGAAAAATAATAACTAAATCAGACTAAAAGGTAACTTGCTGAATGCAGTTATTAGTTACCAACAATTTATTTGATTACAGATTGTTAACTACAAGTTGGCAATTCAAACACACCTGTCACTCTGTGGGAGAAAGATGAGACTTTCTGCTACCATAAAGATTTACAGCCTAAGAAACTGGTACTGACTCAATTATTTGCTGTAACAGCAGCAACTTAGCTATTGATCAATATAATACGATTGAAAGAGATTATATATGAGGGGCTTAAATCATTCCTGGAAAAAATGGAATTAAAAATAATGGAAAGTTTGCATGATCTTTCTGGAATTCCTTTTATATATTTTAACAACTATACATATGTTAGGATCAGTTCAGTTTAAACAAGGTAGACCATTCAAACTACCCATTTGCTCCACACAAACCCTCTTTAAGATTGCTATGAGTCGGAACTAACTCGCTAGCAAATAACAGCAACAAAAACATATATATATATGTATATATATTGGATCTCTGGTGTGGTGCTACATGATAAGCACTGTATTGTTAACCTCAAGGTCAGCAGTTCAAACCCACCAACTGTTCCTCTGAAACCCTAAACAAGGTCACTATGATTTGGAATGGACTCAACAGCATTTAACAGCAATAAATATCAACAAATATATTTATTAACAATTATATATATATATATATGTATCTATAGATATATAGATATAATACTTAACATATTGGTGCATATGAGTTATGGTATTAGAGGAGAATATAAAAGCACAATGGACTGCCAAAAGAACAAACCAATCTGTATTGGAAAAAGTACAGCTAGAGGGCTCCTTGGAAGCCAGGATGACCAGACTCCGTCTCTCATACTTCAGACATATTATCAGAAGCGACCAGTCACTGAAGAAGGATATCACGATTGGTAAAGTGGAGGGTCAGAGAAAAAAAAGAAAACCTCCAAGGAGATGGGCTGGCACAGTGGTGGTAGCAATGGGCTCAGGTATAGCCACACTAGGGAAGCTGGCCGAGGACTGGACAGTGTTTCGATCTTTTGTGCATAGGGTCACTATTAGTTGGTACTAACTCAATGACACCTAAGAGCAACAATAATACTTAGCAAAAACAACAAATATATGTATACATATGTTGCTGCTATGAAGTGCCATCAAGTCAGTTCTGACTGATAGCAACTCTGTATAGGGTATCCACGGAGTGGCTGCTGGTTTGAAATGCCAGTCATGTGGTTAGCAGTCTAATACTTATCCTAGAGTGCCACACCAGGGATATATGTGTATATATGTATGTATATGTTACATACACATGTGCTTATATACGGAATTCTATATATACATGAGAGTAAGTCCAAAAGTATTGCTGCAATATAACAGAAACTTTATTAAACAAAAATATCAAAATGTGAATTTACTAAATCTCCACATCTCCTCCACCTATGTCTTCACACTTCAGAAGGTGATGTTTCCATCTCTCTAACCCTGACTCAAAGAATTCTGTACCCTTCGATTGAAGGCCTCAAATTGTGTTCTTGTTCAATGTTCTTTGAGTTTGGAGTATAAAAAAAAGTCTGAAGAGGTAAGATCATGGCTGTAGGGTGGATGGAGTAAGGTTTCCCAGTAAAAGTCATGCAAGACAGTCCTTGCTATGCTCAAAGAACAAGCAGGAGCAGTGGCCTGATGGAAAAACATCCCTCTGCACAGTCTTCCTGACATTTTCTCACCAGCACAGATTTCCGTTTTCCTAAAACATCTTTATAATTAGTCCTATGGTCTTCTGTGTACTTTAAAAATATCATGAAGATTTTGCAATCCTAAAAACAATCACCATAATCTTCTGGCTGACCTCTTCCTTGAATTCACCTTTGGAGTCTCCCTAATCCTCCTTAAAATATTGTCCCATTTGAAAACTTTTTCATGGGAATCTGCTGTGGTTAAGTGTGTCGAGTCGCTTCTGACTAATAGTGATCCTGTATAGGGATTCCAAGGAGTGACTGGTGTGTTTGAACCACCAACTTTATGGTTGACAATCCAGTGCTTATACTACTCAAGCATATGGGGAGAGAATTCCATACACTTGCAAAGCTTCAATGATTTGGGAAGATGCCCTATTAAGTTTTCTTAACCATTTGATATCAGCCCTGATCTCAAACTCAAATTCATTTTCTCTAAGACACAAAAAGTATTCTTTCCTTTTTTTATTTTTAAAGGCACCCTAATGAACAGAATGTGGCGCTGTGGGTTAATGCGCCAGACTGCAAAGCCGTTTGAACTGCAAGGTCAGCAGTTCAAGCTCACCAGCTGCTCTTCAGAAATGCTATACAGGGTCACTGTGGGTCAGAACCGAGTCAACGACACTTCACAACAACACAATGAACAGAACATGGGAACACTGAATGGTTTAAAGTTAAGAAAGGTGTGCGATAAGGTTGTATTCTTTCACCATACTTATTCAACCTATATGCTGAGCAAATAATCCGAGATGCTGGGTTATATGAAGAAAAACATGGCATCAGGATT